CATTCAAACACCCTAGCAACACACTAACAACAACTCAACCCCCAAGTAAAGCACTAACAACCACTCAGAACACCCTAGCAATGTACTAACCACTTAATCACCCTATAAACACCCTAACAACCACTCAATCACCCTAACAGCACACTAACAACCATGGGCAACATTTGACTCTCGAGTCAGGAGGGGGGCAAGAAAAAAAAAGCAAAATATTTTTCCGATGTATGCATCAAAGCAATGCCCTAACACGCATCAAAGCAGTCAATACAGCGCAGTCAAGAATAACTTAAAGAGGTTGCCTGCGTTTACTAAACTGGAGCTTTGACTCTTGTTGCTGATTTGAATGGTGATGCTTCCTGTTTTAAGTGACCTTTAACTTTTAACCAGAAATGTGCACGCTTTTCTGATGTTCATTTAAGTTTTCTGTGTCTTTTTCCCCTGTCACTTGAAATGTGTCTGTTTTGAATCGTTGTTACTAAAGGTGAGACACGTGAGGGGGAAAAAAACTATTAGATGTGGGACCATTCTGTCATTAATTGCATACAATTCATTTCTGAACTTTCTACCATCCGTTACTGGAAATGAAATTACTGGTTGATATGTCCCTTTTAGTCAGTGAACTGGATCTTGCTCAGGAAGCACACCGTCTGTGGAAGTTTGGCCAGGACCGGTTCCAGAATAAATCACTCAGGCATTTTTGTCCCATCCATTGCTTTATCACTGTCTCAATCACTGATATTACGAGAATTAATCCAGCATAAATATGCGGATGTCATTCCCGAAACGTTGCAGCATGTATGTTTCATACAAAGTTTCATACAAATTCTGAATGGATTATAGCCTAGAAAGCACGCAAAACGTGCTCTCATTATTGTCACTAAACGCGTCAGTCATCTTAGTTCATTGTGATCTCACAAAGTTCCGTTATAATCAATGAAGCTCTCTAAACTACACAATGAATCTCTTATTTACATCACGTCTGCACTTATGAGATGATTCACGAGCGTGCAAAACTCTGGCGTTTCAGCGGTGAGTGAATTCTGAAAACTCTAATATTTCTGATTGGCCATTGCGCTGAAGAAACCAACAGATATGTCTGTGATTGGCTACATTGCTCAATGCGGCAAAAAACACATTGGATAGTTTGACAGATCTTTTATTTCTTGTGCGTTCGTTTTAAGGTATTTAGAGCCATCTAGTACCCCTGTACAACCGGGCCTGTGCTCGGCTAACCGCTCCAGTTGCAGCGGGGCTGACATCGGGGATTTTATGACTACCGATATGGGAGGGCAATTGCCCCCCTTGCCCCCCCCCCCAATGCCACCCATGCTAACAACAACTCAACACCCTAGTAAAGCACTAATACCAACTCAACACCGTAGCCAGCGGACTAACAGCCACTTAGAAAACATGGCAAAGAACTAACAACCACTCAGAACACTTTGGTAAATGCATAGCAACACCCTGGTAACAACACTGCAAATCCTTAAACAATAACAGCACGTTTTATTCAGAAAAGGCTTCAGAAACCTTTCATTTAATAAAGATCTGCAAGCTAAGACAGTGTGTGGGACTTTTCCCACAATTTATTTCTAAAAAGAACAAACTCCAGCCGTTTCTCCAGGGCACACAGACTGGATTCAATTTGCGTAAGACTGAGAATTGAATTTAGGCTAAATTGCAGAGCGATTTAGTTGTTCTCTGTGTATCTCTATGTGCTGGTGGCGTCCATATGGTTGCCAGATTGAGAACATGCAACAGAAACAAGCACAATTGATGGGCGACAAGCCTTACACTGTAAGTTGATGAGTTGATTTATCCATGTTTTAATATTCCTCTGGTCATAGAGTTTTTTTAGATGGATGCAGAGGTTTTTAGGTCGGGCAGAATCTCTGACGCAGTTCATCAGCTGGCTTTCATGGCTGCTGTGTTTTCCACCAACCAGGGTATTGAAAAACTATTGGGTAAATTGCCAGTGGGCAGAGTTTCACAGACCAAAATAAAAACAGACATTCCGACACGGAACACACATTTCAAAGCAGAATAACTGGTTGTAGCATCTTAGAATGTTTCTTAAATACCTGCATACATATTATGGGACTTTTATGCTTTAGTACAGTCAAAGAAATACTGGATATTTGAGAACATTTCTTAACACTGAGCATGTGTGATTGAAGTGCTATACAAATATTTTATTTGATATAATATACAAAAATTGTGAAGCATCAGCCCACTGCATTTCTGCTGATCATATTGTTGTTTAATTGCACACAAGAGAGACACTGACTCATTGGATTTATTGATATAATATTTCAGTCAGCATGTTTATGGCTCCCCTTTATTCTACACACAAATGCCTTATACAGCATAACTGCAAATGCACCCGATATCTGCACCTCTCCCTTGATGCCTGTCATCTGTACACTAAATACTGTAAAGAGACACTGACGTCAGTGATGTCCACATTTAGAAAGTGTCCTGTAAGCCTCCAGAGATCTCCGTCACCTCATTACTCCTTCACAGCTTTAGATGGTTATTTACCTTAAATATCACAACCTGTTTTGTGGTTCATCAAGTGCACATTCACCCACTGCAAATACTGAAAAAGTTACAATGATTATTTTCTATGCTTTAATTATAATTTGGGGTTTTAATCATTTAGTTTTGGATCTTTGGATGACATATTACCCAAATAATAAGTTTAATATTAAAATATTATCAAAAAAATAAAAGATTATTATTGTTAACATTTATTTCATATTAAAATAAATATAAAATTGTCCAAATAATATTATCTAAATTATAAGATATATTTTGGATGATACAAAGATTTTTGGACCTTTATATTATGGATTTTATATATATCTCTCTATTCAAATTCAGCACATTCTTCACTCTTTGAAATGCCAGAAACGTAAATTATGCTGTAGTAGTTCCTGTGATCGGTTTATACAGAAAACACTGCAAAATAAGCGATAAATACAGAATATTTCACTGATATAGCCAAGTAAAAAATACAGTTCTGTACATCTAGTTTACCTGCTTTAAACAAAACTCAAAGATCATCATTCTAAGATCTGATGACACTAACCTGGTAAACTTTGGTAAATCCAGTGACTATTCATCTGGAAAAGCACCCGCTGAATCAACCCAGTACCTTGTAAACACAATTTTGCTTCCAGATGGACTGATAAAAACCCTTTGATGAATAAAAAAGAACAATCAGATTGCTAAAGCAAGTGTTTCCCCATTTCAAGTGTGAAATATGCATCGGACGGTCAGAGAGAGACTGTGTGGTGTCTGATGTTCAGACTAATATATCAACTCTTTAAAACAGGCTGTTAGTAAACTTGACTGGTTAAACTGGTGCCAATTCAAGAGTGAAGCAGGCCAGCGAGACACAGATGGTCTCCTTCATAAACTCTCCAAATCAATTGCTCACTCCATCTATAAAAACACAGCGATGTCAAAATTAAGCTCCAAATCAAGAGTTTCTGGAGTTAATCAGGGTCAGCCACTGAAAACATAGTGATGTCTCACTGGTTAAGTTAGTTAAGTAGTCTGGTGGAAACACCAACACACCAGAGTTCATCGCGTAAAGAGAACTTTCCTAAATATATGCAGATTGAATAGTACAATTTTTTTACAAATCTACTGTATATCTTTATATAATCATTTTAAATAATAACTAAATCATTACATTTTTATTTTAAATATCAGTTAGTAATTAAATGTCAGCAATTCCATATGTGTAGATAGATTTTTCCATAAAGGAAGCATTTTGACCAGAACGTGACAAAATATTGCATAAACTTGTTGTCAAAAACACAAACTAAACTAAATGAACACTACCACAGCATCCAAAACACAACATGTGCCGGACACTGCAGAAGTGTTTGCATGCATGCATAAATTCAGCCGTGCTTTGTTATACTGAACTATTTAGCGCTTTGTATAAAGTTTGTTGAAAATTATCCAACCATAAATGACATGTAAGAAGACACATGCATGAATCCCCTCATATTCAGCAGCTAATAAAACCAGACCAATAAGGAAGCAGAGAAGTGTTTCTCGCTCGCCTGATTAGCTCTCCACTGTATAATTGGCAGTTGACTGGGGCAGGTGGGGAAAAATAGAGCACTGGCCTCATTTCGCTCTCAAGAGACGATTCAGAGAGAGTAACGCAGGCGCCACACAGAAACCAGCAGCCCAAGGACAAAGTGGGAAGAACGGTGATATGAGACCAGGCCACGAAAACAGCAAAGAGACCGCAGAAACGGGTGTTTGAGGACACCGGACACAAGACGAGGCCTGTCAAACAATACTACACCGCAGAGAAACACATGCGAGTTAGTCAGTAGGCCAACAGAACCAGTATTGGGTGGCATACATAACTAAATACAGCACTTTTTCCGCGTTTGTTTTGTCCAAGCGTCCATTCAGCTCGCTCGCTCCCTTTTTTTGTGAGAAGAAACCCTTTTACACACACCTCCTGTTGTATTGTACTTCATTCGCTCACATACATAGCGCACCGCCCCCTCCTATGTAGGACAGGGTGAATATAGATATATTTCCAGTGAATTGGTCCCCAGAAACTTTAATTGGAGAACTTCCATGGAACAGACTGTCCCACTTTTATAACCCGTTAAAAAGAAGTGGAGCAAGCAAGTCCGGCATCGGTCCCTTCATGTCTCTCACTCTCTTTGTGTCTCTCGCCAGCCTTCGCTCCATTAGAAAAGAATGACAGCGCAGATAACGAACAATTAAACCGAGTGTCAGTGGTCTTTTCTGCACTCTTTCCCTGGAGCGCAGAGTGAGATTGGGCTCTTGAGAAAAGCACAAAAGCACTTTCTATTTGCATTTCACACCTGCTGACAGAGATCATGAATGGTGCTTATCATTGTGAAAAGAGATAAATCGTACACAAGATTTGTGAAATGCTCAAACGTTCATTCGAATGCAGCAATGACATGATTTACAAGAACAGTACCAAACATCTCAACAATATACAGTACTGTTCAAAAGTTTGGGATCGGATCTATTCATTTCTGGAAAGAATTTTCGACTGCTCACTTTTTGATCAAAAAATGCAGTAAAAACAGTAATATTGTGAAATATTATTAGAATTTAAAACAGCTGTTTTCCATATGAATATGTTTTAAAATGTAATTTATTTCTGTGATGCAAAGATGAATTTTCAGCATCATTCCTCCAGTCTTCAGTGTCACATGATCCTTCAGAAATCATTCTAATATGCTGATTTGCTGCTCAAGAAACATTTCTGATTATTTTCAATGTTGAAAACAGTTGTGCTGCTTCATATGTTTGCAGAAACTGATACATTTAAGTTCAAAAGAACAGAATTGATTTGAAATAGAAATCTTTTGTAACATTACAAATGCCTTAAATATCAATTTAATGCTTCGTTTATTTTCAAAAGAATCTTTCTGACCCTAGACTTTTGCTCCACAATGCTAGGATGCTACTGTTTTGATTGGTTACTAGACTGGATGGTTGCAAATTCTCTAGATTTGGTTAAAGACTCTTCTTCAGTTAGGTCTGTGGAACTTCTTCACTAATTTAATCATAAGTCTAATAACTTTTTAAAGCACACCTCTGTTTGTTTAAAAAACCAAACATTAAGAATAAACCATGTCACACTCAGGAACAGCCCCTTACAGAGCTACGTGATCAACCATCCTCTTACGTCCAGTAATTTAGTGTGGAAAATTGTAGGCAAAATAGTCCTGCTGCTATTATGAAAGCCACATAACCGGTGAAAACAATACAGCTTTTCAGAAAAATACAGATGCGTGTTACAAGATGTATCAACATGAAGAGAAAAGGCACTAAGGACACCAGTGACCAGTGTTGCTAAAATTATCACACCATGCTGTCCTACAAAAACCACACTAGGGCATGTGAAGCTGATAGATCTCCTGCAGTGAACAAATGGAGGAAACTCAGCTGATCATAAATAAACTGAAGGGTGGAGAATCAAAACCGAACCACTTCCTCGAATACTGATGCACAATCAACAAGTTCTGTATTTTTGAGGATAATCAAGAAAAGGGTTTTTCATAGATTTCTTAACCTTGGGATCTTTTATAGTAAAAGGCCACGTTCAGCTCAGGGTTATGAAACTCTGATTCAGAGCTAGTTAGTTGTGCTTTTGTGGTACCAAAGGTGAAGAGTGTGACTCAATGCGTTGCTATGTGTTTTTCAGCAACACACAACCAATGATACACCATTACCGCTTACTGCCTCAATGCTTATGCCATTAAATATTCATGCACTGTTTGGTTTCAAACATAATCCAGCATGCATTTCCTACTAGTTTTTGTAATACACTTTAAAGGACTAAATTAGAGTGGATTTACATAGCAAAATGTAAACTACTAAAACAACTATTGCATGATTGTTGTTACATGCTTAATTGTTCAATCAATGTTAATAAACATCCTACATATGCAAAAAAAAAATAACAACATTAATTTAGATTTTATTAATCTAGTGTTAAATATCAAAACTGGCAATTAATTGCTAATCCAGATTAAAGTATGAACAGCGTCGAACTGGTACAAGATAAAGAGTGACGTTAACACAGGAAATCAAGCGTGACCAGCCCAAATAATCAGCAGAAGCTTTAGAGAAGGAACTAAACGAGGAGGAAACCCACAGCCGTGACCTTGTTTGACAACACACTGGAGGTCTAGAAGAGAGGAGGAGTACGAGAGAAAACTGGGACGAGGAGAGACAGAATGCAAATGATGCTGGGAAAGAGCTCAGGACACCAGAATGAGAGTAAGTGCTGGAGGACAAAAACACACACACACACACAAGACCAGAGAAACTCCACTAAAACACAACAATCAGTCTGTCCATGACTCCTAAACATCACAGACTGACCCATGCTGCTCTCGTTTGGATGGATGGATGGATGGAACGACAGACAGACATACTGACAAACAGAACCAAAAATAGAAAAGAACAATAAAATTAGATAGATAGATAGATAGATAGATAGATAGATAGATAGATAGATAGATAGATAGATAGATAGATAGATAGATAGATAGATAGTTTTGACCATGAAAGTGTCTTTACAATATCACACAACTTTTGCACAACTTCCATATGACTACTGAAGTCGCATGATGGTTTGAGAAAACCAAAGCATCACATTACCACCAAACTTCAAAGCATACTGACTAATAATGATCTCAGATCCACAGCTCTGAAAAACCATTCACATTTCTGCACTGCTTTTCAGCTTCAACTTCAAACTTCGCTTTTGGTTACAAAATGTCATCAATGTAAATCTGGCACAAACATGAGCATAAGTTTAAATATTTACACTCATGCATTTGACATGCTTTTATCCAAAGCGACATTGCATTTGAGGTATATGTTTTATCAGTTCATATGTTTATCATGTGCACAGCACACATCTATTCAAGAAAACACACAGCTTAAGAGCACACTGCAAAAAGCGCAGTAAAATCGAACGACAAACTGAGCTCAAACTGTTCACACACACACATATGAACGGTTCACACTTTCTCTATACAGACTTTCTACATTAATGTTAGAGTGTATAATTATGCTCTCTGTGCGCTCTGACCTATCTTTTCTCTCAGCAGGCCCATCACACCAGGAAACGGCGCACACACACACACTTACTCACCCACTCACTATCAGCACAATTTACAGCAAAACACACACTGAAGTCAAAAGCGCTGCATATGCAACTACTGCAGTTCACAGTCCTGCTAACGCACACCAGCACAACTGCAACACTTTCCCAAAAGTCATCTTTCAAGCATCCCAGGGGTCACATGCATGCAATAGTTTCTATTATATCTTATCGGATGCACTATCCAACTGGGAATTACCTGATTGTCCAGCCTGAGCTTCCTCATTCCAGCACAGAAGAGCCGCTTCGCTCCAGAGACGTGGTCAGCAGGGCAGAACAGGGTCCAGAGAGGCACAACCAAAGCAAACAGTCACAAAAATGACTTCCCCGCACACATCCAGGCGTTACGTCCACGCAGGATCACCTCCAGCACTGGAACAATCTCTCTTCTGATCTCTCCCGCTGTCATGCACTCAAACACTCCTCCCTCCAGCCTCGCTCTCCACACACATACACACACACGCGGTCTCTCGGATGCTAAGAGCAGATCAAACTGGCTCGCATCTGAGGCTTGGGTTTCATCCTGATCTTCTGTGGCTTTGTGGGAAGAAGTCATCTGTTATGCTTGGAAACCACCGAATCCCACAGAGGAAAACATAAATGTTTCACATGTATAATGCAGGACATCCATGCATATGTGTGTTTGAGTGTGTGTGCATGTAGAAAAATATATTCACACACACACACACACACTCTTAAAAAGAAGTGGGTCATGGATGGAAAAATGAGAGGAGAAATTAGCCTGCCTGCGTGTGCTCATGTGACGTGCTGGGGTGAATTAGAGAAATCATCACCTGTCCTCATCATGCTGAGGTTATCTCCGTCTCTCACACACAAGGTTTGTACCAGGACACTGACAACAAACACTTAAGATACACCTATAAGACACAAAGTGGTAAGAGAGAATGACTGGCCTTCACCAGATAAAGACGGAACAGATGAAGATAGGGCACTTACAGTACATTGCCTGCTTTACAAGAGTCTGTCTGTGGTTTGAAATCAGGCCTGTTTGGAAATTCGTCCTTATTAGTGTTGTTTGATTAGTTAAGCATCACTATTACGAGTACTCATGCTCATGGTGATGTGATGAAACCTCTAAAACTACTAACTAATGTATTAAAGTCACAGAGTTCATGCTCCATCCAGTGTAATTTAGTATTTTTTTATACAATATTATTGTATTCATTGACATTATTTTATCTTTATATTTTCATATTTAAATGTAATTTTTATATTTTAATTAGGTTTAAGTTTTATCAATTTATATAACATGAGTTATTTATATTAAATATATACAGTATATATATATATATATATATATACAGTATATATATACACAGTATATATACTGTATGGCTTATAAAGCAATTCAGCTGTCACTTTTTATCTTCAATATTTTCAATAATTGCTTACTAACTGAGGCAGTTCAGTTGTTGTTGTTTTTGTTGTTGTTTGTTCTGTTTGTTAAAAAAGCAAACCATAGATAAAAAATAAATAAAAAATAAAAATAATTAACATTTTTATATAGTATTAATTATTTTAATTTTAGCACTTCAACTTATAGTAAACTTATTTAGTCACCAAGACAACATTTAAAATTATATTGTTTTTTAAGCTTAAGTTTTTAATTTAATGTTTTATTTTATTTCAGAATTATTATAGCATAAATTATCAACAAAACTGCATGAAATGATGTAAATGAACACTTTACACACTTTACAAATGCAACAATTAAACAATCATCAATTAAACATTCTATCTATCTATCTATCTATCTATCTATCTATCTATCTATCTATCTATCTACTGTATCTATTTATCTATCGATCAAATATTTTTTTCTTTCTTTTTTTCTTGTGTGAGCTAAGTCAGAAAGTGTTATGCAATAACATTAACTAGCATTTTCATGGAAAACAGAAAATGACCACAACACAGCATGAAGGTTAAATAAATATTTATTTTTAATAATTAGATACAGGTAGACACAAAATATCAAGGCAACAGTCTATCCAGAATATATTCAGGTAAAGAGGCCTGTCTATCTGTCTATCTATCTATCATCTATCTATCTGTCTATCTGTCTGTCTATCTGTCTATCTATCTATCTGTCTATCTGTCTATCTATCTATCTATCTATCTATCTATCTATCTATCTGTCTATCTATCTATCTGTCTATCTGTCTATCTATCTGTCTATCTGTCTATCTATCTATCTATCTATCTATCTATCTATCTATCTATCTATCTATCTATCTATCTATCTGTCTGTCTGTCTCTCTGTCTATCTATCTATCTATCTATCTATCTGTCTATCTAGGCATCCACCCATCAGTCTGTATATCGATCTATCTGTCTGTATATCTATCTGGACAAGTAAAGTTTTGGTGAACTGAGGCAGTGGTGTTGTAGTGAGTATTAGTGAGTTGTTGGTTCTAGGGAGTCCTCGGCATGGGTTTTGTCAGTACTTCTCTATTTTCAGGCATCTGTAAGTAGGTCTGCCACAGTGTTGGAGTCAAATACTAACAGTCCTGGTGCCTAATTACTAATACATGTCTTTCTTCAGTTCAAAACAGGACTGAATGTGGCCTGTTTGTAGCCAGCGTTAGGCCGTGTGTTGCTCCCCACCGCTGTCCTGTTTTCTGACCTTTCAAAACAGACCCAAGTCCCACCCCGTCCTCTCACTATAACATCAAAGCTCGGCGTCCTTAAATTAGAGCCACGATGAAGCCGATAAACACTTCAGTTCCTCTACTATTTAATGCATTAACATCTTCTCAAAGAGCTGATCGAATCTGTGTTTTTAAACTAGTAACATGAATTTGATGCATTACATGAAGACAGAGATGAAACCACTTATATACTTATAGACGTGCTATCCTGTGCTACCAAAACAGTAACATCTTGTGTATAAATTAATCACGTTGCATAAGGATGCATAATTAATTTATTCAAGTACTTCTCAAAGCTGGATTGCACTTAGTCATCTTGTTAATAAACTATATTTTTAGATTTATGAAGAACATGTGAGAGGTTGCTTACAAAACTCACTGTGACTTGATGCTGAGGTGGTCAAAGCGTTGCTATGCAGTTGCTAGGTGATTGCTTACAGATCCAAGTTAGTTGTTCAGGACCATAGTTATGGATCGAGTTCCTCCTTCAATGTAAATATGTGAGATTTAATACAAGTTAACTGGCCAAGAAGACACTTGCTTTGAGGAATTATTCATTTCTGAAGAATAAACACATCACATTACTACAGTAACCCTAGCTATGGTTTAAGCAATAATAATAATGATACTTCATCTAGTAAGCAGCACTAATTAAGACTACTGGTCAGTAAAAGCAAAACCCCTGCCTTCTCTTTATATTCTTAAAGGGGTCATCGGATGCTACATGCACTTTTAAGTTGTTTGAACTGAAATGTGTGTTGGCAGTGTGTGTACACAACCACCCTATAATGATAAAAATCCACCCAGTGTTTTTTTTTTTAATCTGCTCGTATTTTACCCCTTTCTCAAATCGAGCCGATCTCAGATGCCTGTCTGTGTGACGTCACAAAAACAGGCCCCTCCCACGATAGTTTGATTGACAGTAGCGTTTCAGCACAGACTGGACTGGCGTCTTACCTTAGACCCGCCCTGAGTGAGCCGTCATCAGTCCGCCATTGTTTCACCGCCGGAGCAGATGTAGACAAGAAAGAAAGAAAAACAAACTACTGGAATAACTTGTACTCTGTTCCTCTGAGATACCTCAAAATCCCCAACGTGTCTAAAGCCACACCACTGACCTTCAGTCCGTTATTTACTATATTACCCATTCATTAGATATTAGTCATTCGTGGCGTTTGTGTCCAAGGCTGATTAGCTGTAAAAAGCAGAATTCAAAATTAATAAGACATGTCTCAACTTACTTCGAGCTGTTTCCAAAATAATAAAATAAAATAAAAGTTTGGACCTACACTTAATTCAACAGAAAACCTACAGCTCTTAAACAATGTGCAGCAGCAAAAAAAACACAAAAAAACGCCCATTTTATTCTAAGAGTCAGCGAAAGGGCAGAAAATAGTCATACAAGCTATATTGTGGTTTTAAAATAAATACATTAATTAATTAATAAGTACGTAGTAAGTAAAAATCAACATGCTTTTCTTTTAACTCATTGTTATTCCAGGAACATGCATTACTCTGCAAAACCACAGTGTGCGTCATGTCACCATTACTTCACCACAGATAATGAAATGGCTCAATCTTTCTTTCCCAACGTAACTACTTTACAGCACAGATAAGGCTGTTTGCTTTCAGTTTACTGCGTCTAGATTTCACCATGGATGAGGATTTCATTTGGCATGAATGTGATATTCTGCACAATTCCATAATGATAATTTAGCAACTATAAAGCAACAATACTGTATATAATGCATTATAAACCTATTCATAATTCTTTAAACAGCTTGGTTATTTATTACAATTAAGCCATGTCAGCACCAAAGGCTGTTTTTAATAAATTATTATATAATCATATATAATCAATTATTATTTTTAATAAATTATAATGCATTTGTAATGCCTTATAATGCACTTTATAATCAGATATGTTACTGAAACACTGTGTGTTATGTGAATAGATAATAACATATCTGTGACAAATTGCTTTTGTTCAAGTCACTTTGGATAAAATTGTCTGCTAAATGTATATATGTAAATGTAAAGTAGATGAATATTATAACTATATATGTTACTATTACTTACGAAAACAATGTGCATAATAGGGCATTGTCAAATAATTACAGTACAATGCATTATGCAGGTTTCATAAAAAGTGCTGCTATGAATTCATGAGGCCAAAATGACTCCTAGATTGCAGCACATTTTTTCAACCCCTTATAAAAGCATCATCCGTTTGTTTCTGAACAGGTTCTTTCTCTTCATGTGAAAATGTTATGCAACCAAGAAACACAGAGTTTGTACAGCTGTGCCAAATTCATTCAGAACATTACACATACATTTGTTTAACACAAAATATATTTAACCAAAAACAAAGAAGTGCTGACTAATAAGCATGTTTCTGTTCATAAATAACACCATCACTGGGTATTCTGGGAAATGCACAGGAAGGTAACACACACACACACACACACACACACAGAGAGAGACAGACAGTAATGCAAGTTCCTCTTGCACAAAATGAAAAGAAATAGGAACAAATCTTGAACAACTGTGAATACTTCCAAAGTTTTTAGAAATGAAAGAATAGAATAGAATAGAATAGCTTGAGATCTAGAAGACTGACTGTGATGAGTCAACGACACTGAAGTGACATGAGGGACAGTATATTCATTTATGGCACTAAAGTAATGCATGTGACTTTGCAGAGGGGGAAATACTGAGACACATTTACATTTTGAATGTATACCTTCAACACATTTGTTTGACATTCTTGTGTGACATTTGCTGAGGGTGAATAGTGGTGCATTTTCTCAAACATACTCACTTCTAATGTCA